CAGGAAATCAAAATAAGATTCCAGAATTACTAATAACACACAAATCTTTCACTTTGAGAAAGGGGTCAAATAACCTGAAGAACACAATTCCAAAAAATGAGGTTTGAATCCAAAAATATTTACTAGAATATGTTTCCCAAGACATTTGGAACTCATTTGTGAAAACCATTTCGAAAAGGGTGTGAAAATCAGTGCACAATCACCATTTTAGCTTGGAACTCAATTTCTTGAAAAACCTTGTCATTTGCCAATCTAAATCCCAACTGTCACCCAAGCCTACACCTTGAACGTGGCCGACACTCGAGAACCGTTGATGATCCACAAGCGAACCCTTGGCCTAGCTGGCTACTTAGCTAAAGACTAAATTAAACATAATTAAGCTTTTAAACACAATTAACCTATTTTACCTCTAAGTACTCAACTGTCTCAAAATATTCTGAACACAATAATAGCTAAAAATAGTTTAACAAAGGAATACTAGAAACATAATCAATACTAACTATCTATGAAGCCTCTATTGTTAAAGATGGATGTCAAGACAAGACCCATAACACGTCAAGCAACTAACTAAATTAAAGGTGAAAGTTGAGCCCTCTAGAATGCAAAGAGGCTCACCAAATGCTAACTGGGAGTGCAAACTGTGCTCAACGAAGTGTCTGTTGATGATTTGAACACCTATTATGAACTAGATGCAGATCAAATGACATCAACACATTGAATGTACGACTACGTAATATAACATAACCGAAATGACTGAATTAAAGGACTGCAATAGATATAAATTTATACTAATTTGAAGGTAAGGAAATAAATGAGTGAAATCATTTGAACTTTACAAATACTTAATCATCATTCAACTCAACATATAAAGTGATATGATAAAATACACTTTTAACTCTATTTGGGAGATTCTCTAATCAACAACCATCACTATGAGCAACGTGAGGATACAATGTCATGCCCAAGCTATAAAAATTGTCTTGTATCTTGCCGGGATATAGAACATCTCAACTAAGTGGATTTACTAAAACTCTGATCGAAAGAAATATTAAGGAGTCATCTAAAAAGTACGATCCATTACCCATGTCGGCTACATCTTTATGAGGAATGTGAGTTATCTGAAATCATCCACATATTAGTGCTCAATATTACTCCCAATAAATATATACTCATGCTCAAATGTATAATATATACTCTTTCTCAATTTGAGGTAATTGCTTAAAATATCCTCTTAAAAGAGTGTACTGGTGTGGAATATCTCTAAACTCATTAACTCGTTAATAAATCAAAATTTCTTTTTTGCCAATTTAAAAACTGATACATTTGGGAATACTTAGTTTCGTTATACTCTTACTCAGATCACTCTTTAAACTCTACTTAAAACTCGTCTTTACTTTCTTAAAAACCAATTTATGAAAAAGAAAAAGGTTGTGTTAAATATTTCTCAATGCTAACTCGATAATAAATCAATATTAACTTAGTAAACATTGGGGACGTAAGGGAGATATCCATTCTACTTTTTACGCACACATTTAGCAACCTAGTTCAAATTTCAAAATAACTACCCAAAAACCGTTTCTATTCGATGAGTTAATTGGCATGCAATCGTTGTCAATCAAGTAACGAAGTAAGGAACATGGGAAACGAGAATTTTTACTTGGAATTGACGATACCGAGCAATTAAGTGAGAGGTTTTTGGGAGAGAGTTGGGAGAATAGTAGGAAATGAGGAGGAAATTTTGTTTTCCCCCTCTACTTATTGTTCCCAATCTCCCGCTCCTGTGGGAGATCTCTCGCCACAGCGGGAGGGCTGCCACCCTGGCGGGCCAAGCTGTGTGATTTTAAAAGGCGTGTCGCCTCAGAGTTTCTTCTAGTCTTGGGGTATAATACCTTTTCATGTGTTAATTAACTAAAAAAAAAAGTCATGATTCATCGTGGTTTCCGTGATTGTTCAAGTCGGTAGTTGGGAGAGTCCTGAAATTAGACCAGGTGGTGTTTGTAGACTAGTCGTTCGGGGACGAACGAGGGGTAAATTGGTATCTATTGTAACGACCCGAACCATCGTTATTTAGGAAGGACAAAAATCCACGAAAATCTAGGCCACTGTTCCGCCAGAGCGGGACAGATGCCGCTAGGGCTGCGGCGCCACAGAAGGGTAAGTTGCTGCCAGAGCAGGATGAGCGAGGCAAAACGTAAGTACGAGAAATCCTATTTTCTCCATCTTCCTAAAATATCTAAATAAGTCGTAAAAACACCCTTAAAACCTTAGAAAAGCTGCTCTAAGCTTAGGAAAGAAGGGGAAGAAGAATTCTAGCATGGGGATGGTGAAACCTTGCGGATTCTTGGAAAATTCTACTGTCGCGAAGCTGAAAAGCTCGAATCGAAGCCAAAAACTTCATGCAGCTGCTTGGCGCCCAAGTAGGCTAGGTTTATGAATTGAGTAGTTTAAACTTGTGCCCATTGCGTGATATATGTGCATCGATTGTAAGATTTATGCATAGGCCTTCGTGCACCTATGGAGTATGATTTAAACTTTATAAAGAAGCATTAGACGATGGATTATGGCTTAGTATGATCGAACTAGGGTTTGTATGAGGTGGAGGATGAATATTTGTGGTAGGTGATAATTGTGATTCTATGATTGTGTGATGTATTCTTATTATGGCTTCGTTACGATGTATGCTGGTATATAAATGTTGCAATATTGAACACACTTATCGTAACTGAGATAGATGAATGATTGTATGCCATGAATCACTCTTAAATGCATGATCTTAATGATGTACTTGTGTTTGTGATTGTGGAGTGATGGATCGGATTGCCACGTTCCGGTATAGTAACTTGGATTGAATTTCCACATTCCGGCATACTAACTTGGATCGGATTTCCACGTTCCGTCATAACATATGGGATCGGATTGCCACATTCCGACATAACTATAGGATCGGGTACCACGTTCCGGTGCTCTAACAGTTTGAGTTTGGGTTCCATGAGAGGACCAACTACTTGTGATAACTGCGTATTGTGAAGCATGTGATATAAAATGTGGGTTGTCTGGTGTTCGTGTACTTGTTGATAATATCGTATGTGCTTGTTATACGCTCTTGAGGAGAGCATTGTATTGGTGGTATATGTTGTACTTAGCGGACACGTGTTATGTCGACTTATAGTTAGCGGTTTGTGGGTTGTGAGGGTGAGAGTAGAGATAGTGTATATGAAGGAAATCGCCGGATAGATTTCACCTTGAGGGAAAGAGATTGGATTAGCAGTAAGAAGGTTGAATTAGGGCATCATGCGACTATCATGGTAAGGTGACAGGGAAACAAAGGTATGACGTTAGCGAGTAGTTGAATTGGTAGGGGTAGTACTTGGGTATATTATGCGTGTTTCTAGAATGGTTAAGCTATGAACCAGGTTTTGGTAAGTGGTTAAGTCAAAAAGGGGGTTAGTAATAGTGTATATTGGAGGTGTTCCAAGAGAAAGAATGAAGGTGGAGAAGCGAGTGGTTTATTTCATGATCTTACTAGTTGATTTCTTATGTTATGTGGTGGACGTCGGGTTGACCGATGATGCCTACTAGTACGTGTGCTTGTACTGATACTACTCTTTCTATGATTTTTTGTCATAGTTTGGATGCAGGATTGGTGACGTTTCATTAGGTGAAGACGAAGAAAAATCTCCAGCAGCTTATGTCCTTTTTACCGCATGGTAGGAGTTGTGTCCTTTATTGTATTGTCCAGTTGTACTCATAGTAGCTCTTGTACCTGTTTAGACTAGGTCCTTGGGGATTTGTTAAATTCATTACAAGTCTTAGCTAGTTATTTTGAAAATATTCCATTTATAAAGATTTTTGTTCTCTCTTTATATCAGTCTTTCGTTAATTTCCACATGTTTTTAACCTTGGGGTATGAGGGTTCTCCTACTTAGGTGTTAGAGTGGGTACCTTCACGGCCCGGTGGGTTGGGTCGTGACAAATATGCACAACCAAAAATAGATATACAAACCAACAGTTGTTCAAAATTAACAGTACATGGCCAAACGGGAAAAATTATCACAACATAAAGATGCCCATTCGGGTCAAATGAACATCATAAAAAAAATATTTCAACAAGCTTAAAACATTCACCGACATGTTTCAGTTACCTTAGGATATTTGTAAATCTCGATTTTTATATTAAATTTGGTGTAGTATTAACCGTCATGGTTCACTTTTTATCTATTAATATATTATCATCTCCCTTGCCTTATTTTTTATTTTCTTATCTGAATATTTGTGTCTTCCAATTGATAAATAAACACAAAAATTATTTTTCTAATGCAGGGGATACATTTATTTTGTCCAATAGACTTCGAACATAGGAATAATTTCTCTACTTCACGAAGGGAGAAAAATGGAACCAAAATATAAATGTGATGATACAATTCTATGTTTTGGGAGTGCAAACATCAATTCTAAAAATTAAGTTAAAATAGAACCTTTGAAGGTTTTAACATACAAAAGCCACAAAATTAATGAATCTTGTACTATCACCATATTTAAAAATATATATCTGAATATTAAATAAGATAATTAATTATATTGTTTAATTCAATTTTAATAGTAGATGTGTTACTAGTTTACACCAAAAAGTTTCAAAATAAAACTTTACCCTCTATGTAAATTGGTTTGTTAGATTTTTAACTGTAAGAGGTCATTTTAAAAAATTATACTAATAACAACATTTCAAATATAATAGTAGTAAATGAAAAAATAAATAAATTTGTATCTAATAAAACATTAAAATAATTGACCATCGATTTAATAAGTGAATGAAAACTACAAACTTTGAAAAAAAATTAAAGGAATACGACAAAAGGACACTTCAAAGGAGGACGAAGGGAAACTTATTCGGAGAGTCCAATGAAACAATTTAGATATGAAAAATAGTAAACAACTTAAATACTCATTTTGACCATATGTACATAGAAAATAGTACTAATTAAAAATACACACATTAGTCCTTAGAATTTTTTGGTGTGGTTTGGATCTTGCACATTAATATTTTTTAAAAACGGAACATCGAATAAAGTCATCACAACATCATCTTTCCAGTTGAGAAACCCAGAAATTGTAGGACTATCTGGTAAGTCAACAGAGGGATTCTGATTGTTATTCATTGATGTTGATACACCAATTGAAGGGATATCCATTGTAGGTTCCATTTGATGTGTCATTGTAGAAGACACAGGAGAATACATTGGAGGAGCCATCATTAATGAAGGCATCGGAGAATCAATCATTGGTGAAGGCACCAAAGAATCCATCATTGGTGAAGGAATCGGAGAATCCAATACTGTTGACGGCATTGGAGGGGTCAGTCCATGTGGTCTTCCAATAGTCATCTGTTGAGGCATTGGAGAAAACAATCATGGAACCATTGGAGGAAACATTTGTGAAAACAATAGAGGAGAAAGATCCCTTGGTTCTTCAGAGTTGTTCTTACTGGGTACCATTGGTTCAACAATGGGTTGAGGGACATTCGATGTAGAACCCTCTCCATCATCCTTTTTTATCATTAGATCATGTACCTTTTTGAGATTTTTCTTGATTACACAACGTAGGTTGTTGAGATCAGAAGCTCATGTCGACCGAAACATTTTTTCTCTTGAACACCTCATACATCTCATTTGTCATTTCCTTGACCCTATTTTCCTTCCTTACCTTTTTGAAGTTGTTCCTCCAACTTCTTGATCCTTTGCATGGTGAACTCTTCTCTTGTCACCATGTTTTTAGATCTCTCCAATGTCGGCAACTCCTTAAACTTTATAAAAGTGTTGGGTACAATATCATTATTTGGAAATGTATATGGTTCATTTCTGTAAGGGTCGTAAATGACTGTAGCCACTTCAACATCACAAAGTGTTTTCAGTTCATCAGATTTTTTCAAGAGCCCTTTCAGTCTTTTATTACCTGAGACTTTTCTTTGACTAGCATCTTCAATCAAAGCATAGTTCACTTTGTTTCTAGACATGGATTAAGGGGGGGGAGAAATGTGTTTGTTTGGAAATGAGGGAGAAAATTGCTTTGTTGTAGTAGTTGTTGTTGTGATTTTCTTGCCTAGGATTGACTCCAATTTATAGAGAAAATTTTAATTCTATACATTTTTAAAAGATTGAATTAGAGACTTTTTCTTGCTAGCAAGAACTAATTTGGAAAAACACTAAATGAGTGGATATTAGATAAAAGTTAGATAAAATCATCTTGAAATATATTTACTTATGATTCCGGTATTATATTGACCAACTTATTAGGAAAAATATTAATGTGGTTTAAATTTAAGTAGTGTTCATAGAAAATGGTCATAAAGTTATCACAAACGTATTTGTTTAATCATTTCCTTCATCGATTTTTTTTAAAATAACAAGTATATTTTGATTCAAGGATGAACTTAATTAAATATTGAAACAAGGGAACATTTTAAATATTGGTTAGGAATATTGAAGTATAAATTTTGATAGTATTTGAATATACTTAAAAATATTCAATTTGATGGTTAATTTAAAAAACACAAATATTTTTAAAATTTTAAATGGTGATGTATGTATGGTTGAAGAAGTTACATCGCTTGTCCAAGCACATTATTATTTTCTTTCATTTCGGATAAACCATATTTAGTGAAAAAATTATGTTGCTTTCAAATATATTTGAAACGAAATTGTGCTTAAATATGTTTTCGTTAATGTCTGATACTCACCAACCTGTCACTCGATTCACATTATATATATTTCTATATTAGTTTTGAGACAAGTCAATATGAAATAATTGCACAAAACACTTACCAAGCTGATGTGTTTACAATAGTGTTACAATAAAAAGATATATTTTATTCATTTAAAAAAAAATACTCAAGATGAAGAGAAATTATTTGAAGACGTCTTACTTTTTTTTTTTATCAAATGAATATGTACATTTATTACTCTCATGAAATAATCTCCTTTTATGGTCAATAAGATAAGTATTAATCATATTGGAATCCATATATATATTTCTTTGATTCTTTCTAACTAATGTCTATCTCTTTATAAGAGTGAGGAAGAAAGAACTTCAATTTTATAGAGTTTATGTCATGTTTAGTTAAACTCCTTTAAATGTGATGATCCATCCTTTCATTTTAAAAAATACATGCGGTAAAATTCCTCAGTCTAAAATTGGGTATATGTAGTCGAGTAAATCTGGGATCGACCCGCCTTGGAGGAAAAAAATATTTTTCTTACATAGGATTATCAAGGAAAGGAATGTCTTGGACCACTATAGCCTTTCAAAGCCTACCAAATGACATTAATCTCTAGTTTTCCCCATTTTGATCTTGAAGCCTTTTCTTTAGACAACCACATCCTAGTCATTACCCTTCTGAGTGCTTACATTCACTATGCCTCTCTTGGCTCAACCATCTTGAGCGCACCAAAGATGTGCAGAATATAAGAGAAGATCCATGTTTGAAGTTGCCAAAGGCAAAAGATATTAAGTCTCCTAAAGTCAAGAGAGCAAAAACGACTTCTAGAGAAAGAACTTAAAATAAAGAAAGAAAGAAAAAAGGTTGAAAGAAACAAAGAAAAACAAAAACACCCTTACAAGGTCAGTGAAAGCAGAGAAGGAAAATACTCCAACAAAAGAGGAGAAAAATTCAAAAGAAAGGGGTGAAATAAGAGAAAAGCTCCTAGAAGTAAGGACTCAAAATAAGTCGAAACAAAGGGGTGAAAAAAGGAAAAACTCCAACAAATGAGAATTCAAAAGAAGTCGAAAAACGGAAAGAAAATGAGAAGGATCTGACACCAAAGGCGTATCAATCGTCAAAAGTACAAATTAAGTGTGACGCTCAAGGAGGAATTATGTCACTCGTATCCTAAATATATATCCTACCCGTCCTAAGCCTATGTTACAAGCCAATGACAAGCCCTACATGATCTCATTCCAATGTTTTCACATTAGTGGAGATTTACATAAGGGTCAAGTATATGATATCACAGTTGCATGCACTGAACATTCTTGTGAGTATGAGTGCACTTGGAGAAATGTCCTCAAATCAAATACTTCAAATATGTGTGAAGTAGGACTTTTCTTGTTGTGAGGACACTTGAAACAGGAGAATTGGTACAATTCAAAACCTTTGTTTAAAGTAAGATAAACAAATCTGGTTGATACTTAAGTAAGTTTGAGGTACCACTTGAAGATGTAGGAATTACCTTAAATTTAGTCTTAGTTAGAAAAAGAAAAAAAAAAGATTTACATGCACTCCTAACTGTTGGTATGAATTGTAGTCAAGATTTTACTGTCTCATCCCATTCTTTATTCTTAAAAAAAAAAACAAAAAACAAAAAAAGGGTGAGCAAGCACCAACTTTTTAATATTTTCCAAAGCATTTTTTAGATTCTTTCCATTAAAAAAGAAAAAATGAATTTTCCTTTCCTTTTTGGGTTGTTCATTATAAAAAGTGTCATTAGGCTAACTTCTTAAGTGTGAGATGCCTATTTTACTTCATTGGGTTGTCCGTTCCAAAAATGTGACATGTCTTTTGTCTCTAGGCTTTGAATATCACAAGGAATATCATTTTTCTATTTCATCATGTTCATATTGTACATTTTCTACTGATGATCATATCTCAGATTATTTGCAGTATTCATCATCTATAGGTTTGGAACTACATTTGACAGGATTCCTGGCTCAACAGGATATGTAGGCGCCACGATGGCTCGGTCATATACCCAGTGTGATTTTCTTTTCTCCTTGCAATAACAACTAGGACATAATTTTTGGGAGCATCTCAAAATTCACAATAAAGGTTCTATCTCCATCAAGTCAAGATTGGAGATTATTTTGAGATTTGCCAAAAGTTCTAACTGTGACAGAATTTTTGAGGAAGACCTCAAAAATCTCCCTATCGGTTTTGGAGGCCTCCCCATTTTAAAAGATGGAAATTTAGTTTAGATTTATATTTTTTATATGTTAGAATTGGCCGATGAAGAAATTACCGTCGATTTTCAAGGCCTCCCATGTTAATAAGGTGGATTTTTATTTTTAAGTTTATTAATTCATTTATTTTTGTTCATATTTATTTAGTACTAACACTTTTACTAAGTGTCTTTACAGGTACCCGGAGATTCTTCCCATTGGAGTTATTTAGACGAAGTTCGAATTATGTTGTTTATTCATTATTTTGTATATATCGATGTTAGACAAACTTTAGGTTGTGTCTTATATTATTGTTGTTATTTTATTACTCGTGTATATCGCATGTTTGTTTCACTCATATATTGTCTTATCTCCTCCTCAATTTGAAAAAAAAATGAATTCAGTCGGGATCCACAATTGTGGATTTCAAAGGATGCCTAACACCTTCCCTTCGGAATAACCTGAACTCTTACCTAGAATCTAATGGTTTCGTAGATCACTTAATTGGTTTCCTATTTTTTCCTAAAATTAGGTGGCGACTCCTTTAAAATTCGTTTATTCTTAAAATTCTTTAAACATTGAATTAATTGATTTTTTTTTTGAGTCACCACGACGTTTCGCCTTACCTGAATAAAGTAGGGATGTAAACAACCATCATAACCACTTCGACCACTTACCTTACTCTACACCAACACTTTTTAAATGAAAACCTTCCTTAGGTACTTAATAATCAATACTAATAAACTTTACGACTCAACCCAGGTGTAAGTCCTTTCAAATGCTCAATACCGGATACAATTGATCATTTCTCACCTTTCAAATTCATACCTTGACAAAATATATCACCACGAATGTAGATTTACAATGAGAAATCTGAATTGTAAATTCAATCATATAACATAATCCCCTTATCTATCAATATTAGCTTGTACCTTGAAGATTTTATGAATTCATGGATCTTCGCTTATCATTGATCGCCTCTCCATCGATTTTACAATACCTTTCGCTAAAAATTCAATCGTACTCATTACTAAACTCAAAACAGAGACAAAACACTTATCACCACACTCGAGCTAATGTTTGTCCACTCATTCCTCAAGTCTTTTCCAATAGTTTTTAACCAATCTGAAGGACTTGTGACACTATTACCATAGCCATAACAAAACGAATGAAATCACGTGTCTCTAAACACAATTATCTACTGTTCTAAAGATATCTCTTTAGCCCTTGCAATCAAATAAAATATTCTTGCTCTCGCCTCTCTTTAAAGGTTGTACTACATCCTACTATTTTTCTTCATTATGACTCTAGCTCTTTAATTTCTATTCAAATGGTGTCCCACCATCTCTCAAAACCTTCCATGCAACCACGTTACTCACCAAATATTAGGAACCCACAACCTTAGATACTCGCAAGTCATAATTACTACACCAAATTCGCTTAATCATAATATTATTATATAGTTGCATCCCATCACAAACTTTTATTACCATTCTGCTCAGTCAGCCCTGACGATCACTACGAAGTCAACCTTTTCATCAACACGACACCTCAAACTCAGGTATACTCATCAAGTTAAAAGGACTAACCCAATTTTTATACGCATTTTCTTACTAAAATCTTCAATTTCCTTCGCCCAAGTATACTTAATGGAAATTTCTTTATCCATAAGCTTGTCACTCCGGTATCAATCCACTCATTTATGGCTTAAGATAAAATTACCAGTCCTCATACTACCATCCTTCTTCTTAACAAACAAGACATGAACATCCCACAATGAAGCACTACGACGGATGATACCTTTATCAAGAAGCTGTTGGATTTGAGCTTTAAGCTCTCTTAATTCTGATGGAGCCATACGATATAGAGTGATGGAAATGGGGCGAGTGCCAGTTTCGAAATCAATGCAGAAATCTATATCTCTATCCAGAGGCATACCAGGTAAATCCGTAGGAAACACTTCCTTAATCTCAGACACCACAGGAATAGACTCAATAGAGGGAGATTCAACCTCAACATCCCGAACTTGAGCCAAATACGCCTAACAACCCTTCCCTACCAGTTTCCTAGCCCGAATGGAAG